AGCTTGTTAGGAATGCCATAACAAAACCCCAAGTATTGGGTGGGACCTTACACAACAGAAATGTATTTTTGTTTTGGTTTTGTCTGTTTATTTGTTTGTGTGTGTGTGTGAGCGTTTGTTATGGTACTGGGGACCAAACTCAAGGCAGGCATAGTGCCACTGAGCTAAATCCCCCAGCCCAACAGTAATGTATTTTATCACAATTTCAGAGGCTGGAAGTCCAAGGTCAAGGTAAGGACAAGATCATTCCTAAGTCCCTGTCCTTGACTTGCAAATGGCTATCTTCTCACTGTGTCCTTGGGTGCACATCCTCCTGCCTAAATGTCTGTGTCCTGATCTCTTGTTAGTATACCAGTCATACTGGATTAGGGTCCCCGGAGTGATCCCTTAACTTAATTACTTCTCCAAAAGCCCTGTCTCCAAGCACAATCACTGCAGTTAGAGCTCCAACATTTAGGGTTTGGGGGACACATTCATTCAATTCAAGACCAGAGGGAATTAAACTGGGAAACAGTAACAGAAAGACAATACAATGTCTACCATGTGGAAATTAAAGAAGACATATGGGTTAAACAAGAAGTCGCAAGGTAAGTAACACATTTTGAGTTGAATAAAATAAAAATGGAGAAAACATCCCACTATATGAGATGCAGTTAAAACAATGCTAGAGAGAGCTTAACAGCATCAAATGCTTATATAAAAAAGGAAGAAAAGATCCAAATCAAAAATCTAAGATTGTAACATAAGGAACTAGGAAAATAAAGCCAAAGCAAGCTATAGAAAGGGAATAAAGAACAGAAGTAAAAAGAAAATTTTAAACAGAAAAACAATAGAAAAAATGATACCCAAAGCTAGTTCTGTAAATAAATGAATAAAATAATTATACTAGCTATATCAAATACACCAAGAAGAAGCTGCTTGTCTGAACAGTCCAAAATTATTAAGGCAGTTGATTGGTGGTTAAAAAACATACTCTTTAGTGTCTAGATCTCAGGGTCCCACTAGTATGCATTTTAAAATCTACTCCAGCTAATAGAAAAGGAAAGAACACTTTCTAACTACTATTACTAAATCCAACTGCACCTTGATGCCAGAGCCAAAACTAGTACATTAAAAAAGTAGCTTTACACAAATATCCCTGAGTCATACAGATACAAAAATGATAAACATACATTAGCAAAACAAATCCAATAATTTGTTTAAAACTCATGTGTCATACAAAGAAATGTTTATCCTAGAATTCAAGCCTGAATCATTTTCCACAGTTTCCACAAATGAAATAGATGTAAGTCTACCAAAACTTGTGTACAATCTTTATTCCTCTCCATACTAAAAATTTTGATTAAAAATCATACAATATCTATGTAATACAGTGTTCATGGATAGGAATTATTAGTGTAGTACAAAACATCAATTCTCCCCAACCAATATAAAGATTCAATGCAGCACTATTGAAAAAATAAATCCTAGTACAATTTTTGTTTGCCATTATAGACAAGTTGATTCTAACTTCATATGGAAATGGAAATGCATTTTTTTAAAAATTAATTTTTGAAAATAAAGATGGAGTAATTACAGCAGTTAATTTTAAGACTATGAAGCTATATTAATCAGCACTATAATATTCCAAAGCAATACATACATGAATCAGTGGAATAGACCATGGAATCCAGAAGTAGATCACAGACGTACAACTAAGCTATTGTTAACAAAGATGCTAAAAAAATTAAATGAGAAAGAGCCCAGGCTTTTCAAAAGATGTTAGAAAATTGGAACATTTTCAATGTGGAGCAATAAACCTAGACTTGCAGATCCCATCTTATTTAAAATTAATTCCAAATTGGTCATAATTCCAAATGTAAACATAAAATGCTAAAGTCTTTAGCATAGAAAATAAAGAAAATTTGGGCCGGGAATTTGGCTCAGTGGTTTTGCCACCTGCTGCACAAGCACAAGGACCCGAGTTCGATCCCTGGTACCAAACATAAAACTAAAAATAAAAAATAAAATGAGTAGGGGCTAGGGTCCACAAGTCTTTAAAAAAAAAAAAAAAGAAAATTTTATATGGGCTCAGACAAAAACTGAAGTATAATTCATTAAAGAAAAATATAATGAATTGTGTTTCAATCAAAGTTTAAAACTTCTGCCCTATGAAAGAAACTACTAAGAGAATGAAAGATGAGCTACAGACTGAAGCAAAATATTTGCAATCTAAAATACCCAGCAAAGGGTATGTCTTTACAATTTGAAATAATTCTCAGGAACTAAACAAGAAGAAAACAATCAGCTCCATTTAAAAGGCTAAACAAAAGAGTAGAACAGACCTGTCCACAAAGATATACAGATAGCGAATAATATATGAAATGTTCTATAGTTCCTTCTATTGAAGAGAAGTAGACAAAAACTACATTTAGATACCACTGTCTCATAGTTCTGAAGATCAGAAGTCCAAAGTGGGTTATGGGACTCTAAAGCCAAGGTATTCTGAGGGCCATATTCTTTCCGGAGGTCCCAGAATAAACCCATTTCCTTGACTTTCTACCCTCTAAAGTTTTGAAAGCACACCACTCCAACCTCTGTTTCTGTTGTCACAGTTTCTCCTTTTGACCTTGAGCCTCTTGGTTCCCTCTTACAGACCCCCACATTTCTACCTTGAGCCACAAGGATTAATCTAGGAAAATCTCCCCATTTTAAGATCCTTAACCTAATCATCTGCAAAGTCCATTCTCATGGAAGGAAATAAAGTCACAGATTTTTAGGTTTTCAATGAGACATTCTTGGGGCAATTGTCCTTTCTCCCACATACATGCATACAAATGAAATACCACTGAGCCACTAAAAAATAAATAAATGAGAACAGGAATCTCTCTGGAAGGCATGATGTCCAGTGCTCAAGCTCCAGGATGACTTCATTTCTATGACTTTCTTGGAAAGACAAATCTGTAATGAAGCCATAGAGAACGGGTCACCAGGATTTAGGGTAGAAGATGAGACTCTAAAGTAATAGTGTGCAGTAATTGAAGAGACAAAAGTGCTCTGTATTCTGATTGTGGTGATGCTTGCATGAATGAATGCCTGTTTGAACCTCACAGAGTTCTGTGTTTAAAAATGAAAACGAGAATGAATACAGAAAGAGAAAATGAGTATCCCCTCATGCTCTGAGTCTCAGGCCCTGCATCTCTTCTTGGGGCTCCAAGAAGGTGACTGTGTTACTGGCCCGGGGTCTATGGGGCTTCTTTCCAGGTCCTCAGTGTCCCAAACAAAGAGCTGGACAAGACACACAGAAAAGGCAGAGAAGGGGTACATTTACTGAAGGCAAGTAAGAAATAACCTCCACAGAGTGAGAGGTTCCCAGAGCCCTGGGGTGTGGGAAAGGGGTCCTTTTGTGTTCAAAGTTCCCAGATTATTTAACTTTCATGTAATTAAGGCTTTGTGAAAGTCATCTACATATCACTCACTTGGCCTCAGGCCATGTAGAAAGTGCCCTAGTAAAAGCCCTTGGGCTTCCTGTTACAGGTAAATGAGGGGTCAAGAACTGTGTCTTTGGATTGGCTGTGGCCACATGCAAATGAGAATTGAAAAGATTGGTCCAGTGAACCACGTCATGTTCAGAGGAAGGACTGAAAATCGCAAGGTTCTGATTGGTCCAAGTGAGCACTTTTCTGATTGGGATGATGATGATGGCCATGCCTGTACTGGGAGTGTCCCTCCCTCTGCTGCCCTGTCTGGACTGTAGTACTGAAGTCTGGATGAACCCTGAGCTTGCAGTCTGGGGCACCTGGCAGAGAGCTCACCTGAGTCGCCCACATCGCACATCCCAAACAGTCCTCATCCTAGATGATGGAACCCCAGGAAACCTGGAGCAAGCGCTTTCGGGGTTGCTAAAGGGAATCTTCTGCTCAGCACCAGTGACTGAGACACCGCCCTGCAGCAGTGGTTTCTCACACATTTTATTTAGTGCTTTTCAAAAATATTTATATCTTTGGCCCTGTTTAACATTTTTCACTGAGTTCCCTTTTCCTTTCAGGAGGCAGAGGCCAAAAACAACAGAAAATGAATTACAGGAGCCTCAACAAGAAATCTCCTGAGACGCCACCATCTCCTGGAAAATCTTTCTCTAGAGTTTATGAGGCAAATATAAATACATGCTGGATGAAGCTTTCAGTGACCTTTAAACTGTTTGCATTTCAGGAAGGCTCCAAAGAGAGTCTCTGTCTCTGGCAGATTCTTGGGATTCTAGGCTTAAATTAAAAAGTCAAAACCAGATCACGTTTGAGAGGAAGCATCCATAAAGAGCACTGCCCCAGAGCTGAGTGTTGAAGAACTCTCCTCTTCAGCACCTACTGGGCTTTAGAGAATGTGTTCAGAGCTTTCTGTGAGGTTCATTTAATCCCAGTACCTTTAATCACAAAGGATTACTACTCCCATCACACAGAGGAGGAAATGGAGCTTCAGGTTCCCTTGCACAGGGTCCCAGATCCTGTGAGAGCCTCCAGTCCCTTGGCTGTAAAGTGAACTCATGTTGCTGGCCTTGCAGGGTTGTTACAGACTTAGAGCAAGGAAAAGGACAGAGAAGATACTTAATAAATGGCCAGCGGCAGCACATGTTGGTAACCGTGGCCTTTCCTGCTTCACTCGGCAGGTTCTTGGGATGCCTTCAGTCTCTGAGGCCATAGGCAGCAGGGGCTGTTTTTCAGCCTTTACTGGGAACAGCCACACACACACACACACACACACACACACACACACACCCCGCTTGGTGCATGAAGGAAACCATGTGTATCCCTCATAGGGAGACTCCTCCTTTCTGTCTGCGAAGCTGGATGCTCTTCCCACTCTCGGGCTCTGCTGACATCTACTCAAGTGATGAGCTAGAGGTGACAAATAGCCAATAAGAGGCATCAGCCAGGAGTAAGGCCCTAAAATATCCCCATGAGCAATGATCAGGGATCGTGGTCTCTTGTTTCTAACACCTTTCTGGGTAGAAAATGAGGCCAAGATTTGAATCCTTCAGTCTTTATTCTGTAAGACACATGGGGGCCCCTGAGATGCAAGGTGGGCACCTTTTTATCATGATGGATGCTCCCCTCTCTCCCAGGAGCCACAGTTCAGATGGATGCTCGCTGTCATCTCCAGTGAGCGTTTGTATTTCTGACGTTTTAGGTGAGGCGGGTGCTCATTGCCTTGTGCTGCCAACCATTCATATTGGAACATTTCCTTCATTCTTAATCTGTTTAGATGTTGGGGCAAGGAAGGAAAGAAAAGGCGGGGACAGGAGGAGAGGGAAAAGAAAAAAGAGAGAAAAGAAAGAAGGAAGAAAGAAAAAGGAAGGGAGGGAGGGAGAGGAGGAAAAGGGAGGGGTAGAAAGGGATCAAAAGAAGCAAGAGGTAATTATGTACACACCGGCAACACAATGGAATAACACTGTCAGATTAAATGAAAACAAAATCTCTAGCTTCATAAAATTCTCTAGTTTACAAAATTATACTTTTATTCTATGCATTTTCCTTCTGATTTTAAATATTGGATGGCCAATTTTGATAAAAATAAATAAAATAAAGGAAGTAAAAGTACCAGGGAAAAAATTTACCCATAATCCTTCACCCAAAGATAAAATAAGAATGGCTAGCCTTTGGGGTATCTTCTCCTGATACTTGCTCACCATCTCTTTTCGGTGAGATCGTGGTGGTGATCACAGTGTGTGTGGGGGTGGGGGGTGTATGTCCTTCTTTCCCCATTTAAAATAAAATATTAATATTTCTTTCTATCAGAAAAGACAGCAAAAGACCAAGGAACTTTTATTTGTGGAAGAGACCAAGGGGAAATAGCAGTTTCATACAAAGTGGGATTATTGGTAGGATCCAGGCACCGAAATAGGATGTTAAGGAAAAAAACAGGTGAATCTATTATATCTGAAGTTTAGGGACTAGGATTGCAGCAATACCCATTTACTGGTTTCCTTCTTTGTACTATGGTTATGTTAAATGTCCATATTTGAGGACACTGGGTGACTGGCATGTAGGACTCATGTACTATCTTCCCAAATTTTCTGTAAGTCTAAAATTAATTCAAAATAAAATGCTCGGGCCAGGGATTTAGCTTGGTGGTTGCCTTACAAACACAAGGTCCTGAGTTCAATCCCCAGTACCAAAAAATAAAAAAATAAAAATAAAATAAAATGCTTGAAAACTCATTTTATAACAACATAAGGGTAACATTTGTATATGTTGGTAGTAAAAGCTATTCTTTTTATAACTACCTTACAATGCTGAGAACTTTCTGTGAAGAAGCCCACAATGAAATTTCTAGGTCAAATCTTTCTGTACTGAACCATTTTGGTGCCTTTTACCAAGGTCTTTCAAAGCATCTTTTTTTACCAATTAATATTTGGACCATCAATTTATGTGCACCTTTTATAATTAAATGATTCTTTAGTTTACTAATACTTGAAAATAGATTTGAGATACTTCAGATTGTATTTGATGACTGTACAAAATACAGGACTGCACTTTTTGATCTGGATGTTTAAAAGATTCTCTTACTGATTTGAATAGGGGATACATAAATAGTGACAATCTTTTGTCTACATAAGCTGTTACAAATTTTGTTTGGCTTGGAAATGTTTAAGAAAATATTTTAATTGCATTAAGGTAGGTATCTTAATATCAGTGAGGCTTTAAATATGTAAGTAATATTAGGACTAAAATCTACACTAATGTGATAACAAGACATTCATGATTATTAAAATTCTTAAAACAATTCATTCTCCTTAGTATGTAAGTGATGTCCCCTACCCTTCTTACACTAGGAGTAATACATCTTTTGGCTTAGTAGAGCTTATTTAAATTAGGCGAGGGAGTAAATTACAATATGCTGTTGTTGAAAAGACATTGGCTTAAATGTAGGATGCATGGTTTGGATTTATAGATTGCAAAGGGTCAGCGTTCGATGTTTTGGGTAGAGAAGAGGGGAAGAGTTGAAGAACCGATCTAAGGGATTTCTTCAGGTTGGTGAATTAATCCTGCACAGTACTATAATGGTGGCTATATGACACAAGTGTACTCCAAATGCATAAAAATTTACAGTACGAAGAATGAATCTTAATATAAGCACTTTAAAAAGCACTCATGTAGGAAGCTGGTTCAACATACTTGGTTCTAGCATGAAATGCAAACTGTGGCAAAATAACTTAGTTGTGTTTCACAAGTTTAAAACAGCCTCACTGGAAGGGGAGGGGTAGAAGGCTACCCTACTTAACGTGGAAACGTGGGCAGACTGAGAATAAAGGCGATAACAACTGCAGGTAAGGACTATGCTAGAGTCGAAGTAGTGACTTTAAGGTGGTTCTAGGGTAATAATTCTGACACTTATCCACCCATAGAAGAACTGAAAATCATTAGCTGCATGGGAGGTGATGCAAGGCGGGCTTCTTACTGTTGGGATGGGAGGTTATAGATGGTCTGAAAGAAAAGGCTAGAACAATCCATGCGGCCATGGTTTGGAGCTGGAGACCTGAGGGTGAGTCACATTCAGTTTAATAGATACAAATGGTCAGTGGGGAAATGGTGATGGGTGTGTTTACAGGAGTGGGTTAGTATGCAAACATTTTTCTCCTTGCTTTATCAGTGGGAAGAGCCTAGATTCAAGGACATTCCAGTTTAGAAGAGCAGAGATTTTAGTTTTTTAGTATCACTCTCCGGTAAAACAAAACAAAACAAAACAGGGTTTCTTAGAGAAATGAATGATTTTAGAGGTAGAATAGGGAATATGAAAAAGGAGCTAGGAGCATCTTGTAATGCGAGAAAGTAAAGAAATACCAACACACACTCACACACTCACATACACAAGTGCACATACAATAATGGCGTGTATCAAAGGAGCAGAGGAATTACCAGAAAGAGCTACTGAGCAAAGCTGCAACACTGGCACAGAAAAAAGAATGAAGTAGTGTGGGATGATAATCGAAGTATAAAATAAATATTATAGACGTCATACTAAGATTTCAGAGAGATTAAATAAATTAATTAAGATTGGGAACAAACAGACAAACCTCTCTCTAGTATTGGTGAATAATCTCTAGTGTCAGTGGAGGACAAAGTCGCATTATCAGTGAATAGTGTTGCTCATTATTTCTGAAGGAAGAAATGAAGCAGAAGATAATTACTCTTATGAGAATTTTCAGTTCTATAACAACTGTACCTGAGATATATGCAGGCTAAATGTTCCAAGTCCTGTGACAGCCCTCGTTTCTGGCTTCTGGAAACCCAGCTGCTAAATTGGCTTTGAGTTTAAATGCCTGCCATTCAGTGCCCAAAAAACTAGCGTTGCTGGAAAGATGCCAGAGATTCGCAATGTCTAGATGGTGCAGTGTTTGTATTTATTTAATGATACAGGGTATTGAACCCAGGGCCTTCACATGGAGCTACATCCCAAGCCCTTTTTATTTTTTACTTTGAGACAGGGTCTCCCTTAGTTCCCCAGGCTGGACTCAAACTTGTGGTCCTCCTGCCTCAGCCTCCTGAATAGCTGGGATCACAGGTGTGCACCACCACGCCTGCCTGGGTTTATTTTAATAGAGCTTCTTCCTGGGTTTCTCTGTTCTATAAAATCAATTTTAGAAGTTACCTGTGGCTGAGCTGACTTCAGAAATCAAAGAATCCAGTTGGCAGGAAGGCCCCAGCTTGGTTACACGCTGGGATTTCAGGTCTGTCCCCAGCAGGATTCCTCTAGGCCTTGTGGAAAGTGTGTCATCTGCACGACCCTTGGCCCCTGGGAATGTGTGTGCACTTCCTGTGCCAAAGACAGCCGAGTGTGTAACACAGAACATGCGTAGAAGGGAAGGAATCTGCAGCTGGGCTGCGCTCTGAGCCGCTTGCTTGCTTCAGTTTCTCCCCTTCAGATAAGAGAAGAACAGCACCCACGTTACTCACAGTGGCCCAAAAGGATGCACCTTGATAACCCCACATCCTCCCAAGCTCCCGGGCCTGGCGAACTTTCATGCCAGGTACCCGTGATCCTTAAGGAAGCTCCAGCTCTGCCCCGCTCCCGGCCCCGCGCACCTGTCCCTCAGAAGCCAGGAGCCCTCGGGGTGGGTGTGCAGGGCTGGCCTGGTTCTGCGGGTTGAGGAAACAGAAGCTCCCGCGGGTCAATGGCACCGAAGTTCAGAAACGCCGCAGAGTAGAAAAGCACCAGGGTAAAGAGGCTGAGCCTGGCGGCTTTGTTTTGAGGGCCACAGCTCAAATTCCCCAGCATTTTTTTTTGCCTTGCTCATTGTGAACCTTTGAGTTTTCTGGGATCTCTGCTTTTGCGGGGCGTCCTGCTTTCTCCATCTCTCCAGACGCCCCACTCTGCGGCCCATCAGCTTCCTCCTCAGCGGACACGGCACGGTCCTCCACTGCCCTCAGAGGCGCCCACCCGAGGTGGGGTACAGGACAGAGGCAGGCAGTCTACGACGGAGAAGATCCGGTGTTGGAAGGGAACCGCTGTATACTGATCCCTACCGCGTGCCGGCTGTGACCTTGGCCCTGTACAGGCGAGCCCTTGTCAGTTTCCTGCTTTAAGGGTATCATTCTCATCCTCACGGTGAAAGGAGTCACATCCAGAAGTCCTCATTCATTTGCCCAGAGTCGCCTGACCCTAATAAATGTCAGAATTGAGACCTGAACCCAGCCTGAGCAATTCCAGGATTGATGGATGCTCTTTATATTAAAAGGCGATTCTGAATAAATTAGGGTTGTTAGCAGGAATTTAGATCCTGAAGGACCCACAGCGAATTTTATTTGTAGTCACCACATGAGAACAATATAACAAATTCCTGAGAAGAAACAGGAGGGGATGTTTGCTGTGCGTACTTTATATGTGCAAGGGACACTGAGGTCTGTTTTTATTGGCTTCCTACACTTTGTTTTTAATCAGAAAAACTGAATACTTTCCATGTGAGTATAAATGGATGTCTCAATCGCAAAGGTGCCTGGAGCTCAGACTTAACCTTCGATTTAAGTATCCACCCTGCATTGCATAATCGTCAACCCGGATATGGTGCAATTCTTTTAAACACATTAAGGCAAACAAGTATTGAGCAACTGGAATCTCTCCTTATCCTTGCTTGCACCTAGCAACCTTGCAGGTCTGTTTGACAAAAAGCCTTGCCCTTGAACAGCAGTTCATTAAGATGCTGAAAGGCCGAGTAAAGCCCCAGGAGGTTTTGGGTGTCTCAGTCAGCCAGGCTGGGACTAAGGGGGAACCGAGGCTGATTCCCCGCTGAGCTCCCAGTGGGTGGCACAGGCGGGAGCCAAGGCTTGAGCAGGCCTCTGTTTACTTTGTGACTTCAGCCCTGTGATCTGCACTGGACAACTTCCTAAAACAGGTTTTTCTGCTGAATAAAATGATGCAATAGTACAGAAAATCTTGAAAAATGAAAAATTAAACATGCATCATTTCATCACCCCAACAGAAGTGTTTCTGTTCTCCTCCCTTCCCTCAGACCTGCTGCCCAGGCATACATGGCTTACCCAATGGGACCAAAGGAAGGAGTCACCCCTTGCTGAGCCCTCTTCGGTTAGAAGCTGGACTTTTTTATTAGACACCAAATTTGTTTCTACAAAACCCCTCCGAGTCCAGTGGAAAGATTTTTCTCCCACTTGACAGAGAAGCATAAAACCTAAGAAAATTTCAGAACCTGTAAAATGTTCCCCAAGCAAGTCATGACTGTAGGATGAGTTCCAGTCTGTTTGATTACAAAACCACTAGTTTATTCTCCTTTGCGTTGTCAATCAACTTTATATGCTATGCATTCATCATGATAGCTAAACACAACATTTTATTTTACTCGTTTAAATTCATATTTGAATATACGCAATCTAAATATCAATGGACATATCACCAATACTGAGAAACACTAACTTGTGCAGCACATACAAATTTAAGCCTCTGAAAAGTCCAAGAATGCTGGGGATTTGGAGCTGAGGAGAGACAAGAGGGATGGGAAGCAAACAGGACCAAGTCTGCATGTGCATCTGTACCAGTTTTCCCCAATGAATACATTTATTGTGTACCCCAAACACGTACTGATAAAAAAGGGAAAAAATGTTCAATAATACAAGAAATGTAGCTGCTTTCTACAAACATGATAGGCACTTCAAGCCTACACTTCACCTGATAAAAGCTTATTTTCATCAACAAGGGACTTATACCCCTGAACCCTGGCAAATTCTAGAGGGTTGTTTGAATTTCATGTCCTTAATTAGTACCTACAGTGCTGGGGGAAAGCCATATGGCCCTGAGATGTTTATTTTCCCATCCCCTTTGACATCCTGGGTTTCCCCGATACCCTTCTGTCTCCTACTTATCTGGTCTTAAAGGTCACACTGCACCCTTCTGCAGTGCCCGCCCGGGTCTGGTGGTTCACACTGCTTCCTTCTTTACAGCAAGAAAACAAAGCAGCAGGATGAGATGACTTAATAACCAGGGTCTGGACGTGGTTGCCAGGATCTTCAGGTCCCCGGATGTTGCTTCCTCCTCAGTGGGATTTTTGCCACCATGGATCTGTTGTCCTTTACAGTGAGACTTTCTGGTGGCTTCAGACTATGACCTTAACAACAGTTGCTATGATGATGAGGTTTCCTCTTGGACGGATCAGGGGAAGAAAGGGCAGCCAAGTGTCTCAGAGAAGTAAAGCCACCTTGCAGTGACCAGTACAAGGGCTTCTATCAGGGCTCCTCAGAGAAAGAGAGCCAGCAGGGTTGATAGGCTGGCTGTGCGTATCTATATGCAAGAGTCAGGGAAAATACATGAATCGGTACATTTTTTAAAATTCCCAACAAAAGAGCCTTTGCCATGAATCTCCCTCAGAGTCCTCCTCCTCACTTTCAACACACTCATCCCATCGTTCTGACCACTCTCTGTAGAAGTTCTCGAAGTCCTCTTTCCTGAGTGTCTTTATGAGGTATGGTCAAAACTAAGGTGAATGCTACTGCCGAGCGCCATCCCACAGAAAGGCAGCTACTAAAAACATGACACTGCATCCTCATCCACCTTAGTCATCGAATCGGGCACCCTGTGGCTCCTGGTTCTTCCCCAAAGTCACAGTGACCATGAAAGGGAGACGTTTTGAATCCATTCAGGACATCGAGGCAGCCAGGACAGCGCAGCTAAAGACCCTCAGGACAGAGGACTCCAGAGCTGCTGCAGGAAGTGGCAAGAACGATGGGATGAGTGTTTTCAGAGTGAGGGGAGGATTTTGAGGGGGATTCATGGCAATATGTCTTTTACTGTAATAACTTTTTTTTTTGGTACCAGGGATCGAACTCAGGTCCTTGCGCTTGCACAGCAGGTGGCAAAACCACTGAGCTAAATCCCCGGCCCTCTTTTACTGTAATAACTTTTTAAAAATTAAGCACACACCATATGTTTAAAGCATAGCCCATATGTAGATATAGGTATAGCTAATAGTAGATTTATTTGAAAAACTGGCTCTGGTGATCGTATAGGCTGGGAGAGTCAGGGTTCTCACGGGGAGGCTGGCAGGCCAGCACTGGGGCAGTGAGAGTTACTGCTGGGTCCAGAAGCAACCTTCTGCAAAACTCCTGGTTGCTGGCAGAAGGGAGAAGAGGTTTAGTTCTGCTCAGGCCCTTAGCTGATGACCTGATGCCCACTCATGTTATGGAGTGCACCAGCTCTAATTAAGGCCTGCTCATTTAAATATAAATCTTGTCCACAGGCACTATGGAAAAACAGCAGAGGTGCACTGCCTTTCCAACGTTCTCTGCTGAGGATTTTAATCCATGCTTCCAAACTCTGATCACTCTGAGAAACGACGCCATCTAAAACAAACAAAAAGAAATCAGAAAAACCCATATCCGCACCTCTCGGTTAATGTGAGAAATAAGAACTGTCAGTGTTGCATCGATCTCCATGTATCCACAGGTAAGTAGAATCTGTTCTTTGTCTCAGAGCTGATGTTTTCCTCATGTTTAAAGTGTTCTGTATATTACTGTCTGTTGACTTGATGCAGAGATGGACAGCTGAGCATGACGTTGAAGACACTAGAGCATCATTTAAGCTGTAGAGGTCCAGTGTGTGATGGAAACCCACTGTTTCTCAGTTTTCATTTGCTTGTTTCCACATGGCTGTTATACCCTGGCTGCAAAGAGGGGTCATGCAGAAGACAGCAGTAAAAATGTGCCCTTCTCGTGGTGGGAAGCCAGGGAGAGGGGCACCCACAGCATCGCATACTGTTCCCTTTATGGCAGCCTAGGGTGAATGGAGCTTTGATTTCAGGAAAAAAAGATAACTGTTTCTCCTTAGCTACTGGTCATGTTTGCCTTAAGAAAAAATAAGAAAACAGCTACTTTTACATATATATAAATTTTTTATTTATTTTTATTATAAAGTTGAGGGCAACATGTAGTAGCCCTTCACAACCACATGCACTCACGCATACTAATTGTATTCCATTTTGTCCATCTCTCCCTTTATTCTTTTGTCCTCATCACTCTAAAAGCAAATCTTACTGTATTTAATGATTTGTTAACAGATAATTCAAATTCATTTTGCAAAAATCAGGAAATTAGATGGATGGATGGATGGATGGATGGATGGGTGGATGGATACATAGATGGATAGATGGATGGATATGTGGATGGATGGATAGATGGATGGATGGATGGATGGATGGATAGATGGATGGATATGTGGATGGATGGATGGATGGATACATGGATGGATAGATAGATGGATGGGTGGGTGGGTGGATGGATGGATGGATACATGGATGGATATGTGGATGGATGGATGGGTGGGTGGATGGATACATGGATGGATAGATAGATGGATGGATATGTGCATGGATGGATGGATGGATGGATGGATGATAGATGTATACATGGATGGATAGATAGATGGGTGGGTGGGTGGATGGATACATGGATGGATAGATAGATGGATGGATATGTGGATGGATGGATATGTGGATGGATGGATGGATGGATAGATGGAAGGGTGGGTGGGTAGGTGGATGGATACATGGATAGATAGATGGATGGATATGT